AGTGAACTAAGAAAATGCTTATCTCCCTGAGCCTGGCCTTCATAATTCCATTCCATCACAGGTATCATCCTGCTATACGTCTCAACCCCAGGCCAAGCAGGCGATGAGTTCAAGGACATGTCACAGTCCAGAGACTGTGCAGGTCTGGATGGGAAGGAATAAGTTGAAGCTCAACCTTGACAAGATTGGGGGTGTGGAGCATTTGGACCACACAATCTGGGAACATTCCTTCTTTAGTCCTGAATGGAATTGCACTTCCCCCTTCTGGACTGGCACACAATTTGGAGGCCTTCTTGGACTCATAACTCCTGCTTGAGGAGCAAGTAGGAGCTGCGGTCAGGAAGGCCTTCACACAAATTATCTGATGTGCCAACTGTGCCTATATCTAGATCATGAAGCTCCACAACATATCAAAGTAACTGGATGCACTGCATTACAGATAGAAAGCTCTCAATGCACTTTCTCTCTCCCATACACATACAAACACATACACAAACATACTTCACAAGCACACCATAAATAGAAAAGTAGAAACTTGGAGGAATTACTCCCAAAAATGCTACTGAAAGGGGAAGGATCTTTAGGCAGAGAGGGCTTCCATAAACTGCTTACAGATTGGTTGGGGAAGTTTCTATAGGCTGAATTAGGATTTCCCATGCCTTATCTAGAACCATTTCCATCTTGTCTTTAATATTATTCAATATATGCATTAAGACACTTGAAGACTGTCCAAAATTCTGGTAGTCGGTGCCAAAGTTTACTGAAGATTTAATGCTGTTTATTTCTATCTAAATTCAAGGAAGTTGGTCAAGTTTAAATCAGTATCTGATATCATTAATAACTGGATGCAGGGAACAAATTGAAGTTTAATCTAAATAAAACAAATGTAGGTTTGGTTAACCCAAATCCAGATTAAGGAAGATTTAATGTATAAACTTTCTCTAATCCCTTGGATTTAATCCTGAACCTGGAAGGCCTAATTTGGAAGGGGGTGTGTGTCACAGATTCTTTTTTAAACCAAATTAAATTAACCCAGACTCAAGAGAGACACAAAAGCATTGGACCCTGGACCAGGCAGTTTGTATCTCCCTATGAGGGATGGGGAGACTTTATTTTGCAAAACAAAGATACTGTGTGTGTGTATGTGTTCCTATTACCTTTGTCCTATACTCTGTTACAATTACTATTACTATGCTGTATACTATTGCTATTATACATTAATATATCCTTCTTACAGAACCTGTTCTGTCATTTTTGCTCTCTCTGGGATTTCTTCTATTTTTTCCCCCTCTGTTAATGCCCAACACGTGGAGCTCTTGCACCTTTCCAGGTTGTGTTTGCCTTGCTGGGCCTCTATGCTTTTCTCGTCTCTGGACTGTCCATTCCCTCTGAAGGAAAAACACCTTATTTCTTTTGGCTGCTGCACTTCTCAGTTTGCCAGGGGCTGTAAGAGCTCCAAAGACACTCATCATGTTGTGTCATGTCTCCTCTTCTCCCATTCCCTCTCCTCTCCTCCCACACCTGTGTCAGGATTGCTGCTATATTGGCAACTCTCTGTGTAACTCTGGAGAAAACTCAGATGGGAGGGAAAAAAGGTAGCATGTGTGCCTACAATTTTCTCAAGCAGCCTACTCTTCCACAGGGTGCTTAAGGGTGTGTGCGTAGCTAAAACTGCTACGCAGACCAAACCTATTTCGGAGATACCAGTTCTAGAAAATTAAGTCTATGGACTGAAGTGGCATAAAAGCCCAAATAAAGAAATAAAGACATGTGTCTTAGTTACATCCCATTTAGATGATTTTACATTTCAAAATTTTAGTTAATCCAGAATGCCATGGCAAGACAACTAATGAGGATTATTAGAAGAGCCATTTGACTTGCTTGTTTTTGCAAAATCAACTTAATTGGCTACCAATCCATTTCCTGTTCAAAATTCTGGTCCTGACTTAGAACCAATTTATTTGAAGAACCCCAAGCATCCTGCATACAGGCTTTTGGCATTTACCTCACCTTGATGCAGCCTTTAGTCAGTGGGTACTATGCTTTTTTTCCAATTGATGGGTTTTATTTGAGTTTTATTAGACACATTTTAATGTTTTAATTATTGGTTAATTTTTAATCAATATTCTACTTTGCTGCCTTGAATGTTATTTTAGTGGAAAGCAGCATATAAATATAACAAATAATAATAATAATACTGCTACTTATAATAATTATAGTAGTAGTAGTATTATAGCAGTTGTATTATTATTAATATTAATAATAATAAATATATTTAATAATACTGCCTATTTTAAAATAATGATCATGTGGACCTGTTCCTATTTATAATTTATGAGTACACAGGTAGTTCTCATTTAGCAAACATAATTAGGACTGGCAACTCAGTCATTAATTGAAGCTAAGTGAAACCTTGACTGTGCTTATGATCTTACTTCAGCTTTCCTTTGTTTTACAGATCTGCAAAGGTCAGAAATGTGAGGATTGGTCGCAAAGTTACTTTTTCATCACCCTCATAACTGCGAATGGTCACTGTATGAGGCTGTCACTAAATAAGGACTACCTGTAATAACCTCTCACAATTCATATTGCATGGAACTACATAATGAATACTCTTAAACCAATTTCCAGAGCAATGAATAAACTGAAATAAGCATATATATTAATCATTTCAAAAACAGTCATGGCTGTACAGACTCACTTTCATGTCACTTACTTTGATACGTCAAGCAGGAAGTCGTTCAGTTCAGTCTGTTTGGCCAAACCCCTGGATACCTGAATGAAATTTTGGGAAGACTATTGCTTATTTAAGCAGAAGATTAGAATCAGAATGAATCTACAAACATAGATATTATCTGTCCAGGATTTACTAAGAAGAAATAAAGCTAGGAGAGATACACACACACACACACACACGTATGTGTGTGTGTGTGTGTGTGTGTGTGTATATATATATATATTTCAAGCTCCCTCGTATATGTCATACTTCAATTTGAGGTTAATTGTGGATATGTGTGTGCTAATAACTCTAATCATACATTTGAAAAGTGGCACTGACCTGAAAACTACTGCCTGCCTGCTCCTTTCAGAAAAGTGAGGTATTAGCTCAAAACCACTTTTACCGACCACTAAAGAAAACTAAGGTGATTTTTTTTATATAATATATAAAATACAGTACTTCCTTATCAAACAATCCATGTACTTTAATCGTACCACTGGTAGAAACAGCATTTTGCTACTGAAGCATCAACCTGAGTTGAAGGTTGTTCCCCCAATAATGGACGCTACAATACTACTGACCTGTTATACAATAAGAAAGTGTTCGTAGATATTGTGGCAGATATTACTGAAATTGTATATCCATCTTTTTACAACAACATGCTTTGGGAAGGAAGGACTCTAGCTCGTTAATTAGAAGAACAACTACTTGGCATGCAGAACCTTGGAATTCTTGACATCTCAGACAGAGGTGGAAAAGAAGATTGTATATGGCCAGATCTGGTAGAAATCAGAAAAAAACACAGCCCCCACTGGAGCTGTGAGGAATTATGGGAACTAAGGTATACATGCTAGCATCCATGGTTCCCAAAAATCTCTTAACACTACCACATATTTTTGTAAAATATCTACCAGGCAACTTTGACAAAGGAAGGACTGGAAAAGGATGATGGCAACAGGGGCTTATAGCAAAGGTTGGAGACAAAGAAGCTTTCAATGCAAACCTGATCTGGACTGTTCTCAAATTAAAAGGAATTATTAGTAAACTCCTTTGAAATACACAAATAATAAAGAAGGCCTTGAGCTTACTGTCCAATTTTTTTACAATATTCAAATATTACAAAACAGACTAATAATATTTTATGTTTTGTCGAAGGCTTTCACGGCCGGCATACGATGGCTGGTGTGGGTCTCCTGGGCTGTGTGGCCGTGTTCTGGAAGTTTTGTTTCCTAACGTTTCGCCAGCATCTGTGAC